ATCCTATTGTAATTAGGATGTTCGCCCATACTTCTATAAATATAGGATATATAGATCGAACAACCTAAGAGATTCATTATTCATATTGTCGCATCATTATTGTTGAAGCTCTCACGTTAGAATAGAGAGAAAGAAAGGAGTTCAACACATATTATTCCCATTTTTGTTTTTCTCTCTCAACTATTCACACGTATATAATGTATTCTTTGCTATATCATTATGAATATATATTATATTGAATGTTGATAGATTCTTTTTCTTCTACATCAATTCTTCATAATAATGTTTAAAAGTAATTCGACTGTTGATATGTGAATTCACAAGGATAGATTCATTGGGGGGGGGGGGGGGGTACAACCTTGAAATTTCAAAATTTTCTAGAAATTTCAAAATTTTATCTTTAATAGATAAAAAGTACTCAACTTTGTAAAATATAAAGTAATATTAAAATACTATAAGTACTAGTTAAACAATATAATTATCAGATAATGTGAAGTTAATCCAAGATATAAATGCCTATGTAATATTAGAGTAACACAATTCATTGAACTCCGGCTCTTAAGAAAATAATTTATTGCACATAAGAATCAACTATGCATTAATAAAATATACTAAAATGTATCAACTATATGAATTAACAACATAATATTGTTCTTAAAATCAATAATTTTGTACACACTATTATAATATTTAAAAAATCGTGTGATTTACAAACACCCACAATAAACAAAAAATGATATTCAAGAATAAGAATCTTTATTCTAATAAGATTTATGCGGTAAAACAAGGTAAAACAAAAAATGGATGTACACTTTTTTTAATCCGGTAAGCAGACCCACAAAAACAATGGTGCAAATGCTAGAGAACAGGTGTCAAATTTTATTAACATGAAAAAAGATACAAAAAGAGGGGACTATACCAAAACCTCTTCCTGAAAAGCTAAACGATACAAACTTAAAACAGGCCGGTGCATAAAATAAAGAAAACGTAATTGGGCTAATAAATTAACCCAATTAAAAATATCTAAAAGAAGGATAGCCGTATAAATCCATACAGTAGGCCCTCCTAGCCTTAATGGGTAAATCTGAGGCCCTAAAGAAAGTTTGGAAACAGACCGCAAATGAATCAGCTAAATAATGAGCTACCTAGTTCCGTTCACGCTAGGTGTGTTTGAATAATATCCCTTTCCTCTTTGAGACCTGTAACATTTCCTGAATTACACTCATTCATCTTCCCTGTCCTTCCTCCTTTATGTAGGCCATAGCTACCGCCGCATCCATCTCTACTTGGAAGTCAGAGAAGCCCGCAACAACCGCCTAGAGAGTGGCGATGATAACAACGAGGATCTCAGCTTCTAGACTAGTATCAATCAGCAACGGGAAAGAAATTGCACAAACCGAATCTCTCGCCCGATCTCTCATAATCGCACCTCCTCCAGTTCCCTGAGGTGATAATCTTGCATCTGTATTCAATTTAAGTTGGTGAGTAGGTTTCTCCCATTTAATAGCTTTGAAGCCCAATCCTGATAGCTTAAAATTCTTGGGTATGAGATCTTCCTCAAATAGAATGTTACCAATAGAGCTTAATTTAATCCTTGGTAAACTTATGACCGAAGTCTGTGTGAACATCTTGCTAAAGAGTGTATAGAGCATATCCTTCTCCATACATGTTAGTCAGTCACCTTAGGCATCATGTTCATATCTCTAGGATATCTAGCCTTAGTAAAACCATTCCACGGAGAGTTGCAATTATGCCATTTTCACCAAATTTTAATTGAAAAAGCTTTTTCTGAGCTGGAGAGAGATCTAATGCTTAATCCCCCTTCTGCTGTATGTAAACAAATTTTTGCCCAACTGATTCAGTGATAGTACTGAAACTCATTAGTGGAGCCCCAAAAGAAAGTAGACATTGCCTAATTAGGTGGATGTGTACCTAATTAGACCTTTCATCTTCAAATAATTAAATTAAACTCCTTATTTATCAAGCGATGTTGGCATATAACTCTTTTGGCATGTACATAAGAAATTTACTTCAATTATATTTTTCCTTTCAAAACAGTAATAAATTGAAATATTTAAATAGTCGCACTCAATGGAAATGTATGTGTTTCTTAATTTGAAGGCGTGGAGTATATAAAAGGTATGTATAGTTGTTTTCCAAGTGTTTGGATTGTTTAGACGTTCTTATTGACCATAGCAATGAATGTTGTACCTACAAAGAGATACTTTTTAAAATTAAAATTGATAAAAATTTATCTCCAACCAATCATGCTCGGAGAGGTTTGTCGATGTTATCGATTGAAAAATGATAGTTACTCTTGATTGTACTTGATTGTAGTGCCGTTTTTATTAACTTTGCTATTAAAAAACTAGACCAATATGCCATTAGAATATTCATGTATTTTAATGTTTTTGGTCAATTTTATTCTTTTATTTTGAAAATCAAATAACTAATTTAATTATTAAATGATAGCAAAGGAACTAATGAATGAATAGTCTAAGGCTACAATGAGATGAGACATAGGACATAAGAGATCCCATGAATCTTTCCAGACCGTTAATCCCACAATAACGGAGTCTAGTCGAACAATCTTGCTACTCCAAAGCAAAAATAAAAAATTGCAAAAAAAGATTCGACTTCACCAGCCACATGAAATGGAGCATTGGTTTGACTATCAACCAACAAAGGAAATCAACCAAGTAGAAATTGACTGAATCATCAGTTGACCAGCCACCGAAATGTAGATGCAGTTGAGCGTTAACTCTCTCATTGTGAGGTGGTGGCTCAGGAGGAGAACAAGTAGTTGAAGATTCAAAAGAGCTTGGTTGAACCTGCTGTGCCAATCAAGGACAATGAAAATTCACCATTCGATCAAAGCATGACATAACTCTTGACCACATAATAGATGGGGCCAAAACGAGAACCATATAAAGTAGAAAGAAAAAAAAGAGCGACAACATTGGAAAAACTGTGTGTTACTGTCCAAAGAATGTCACCACCATGGAAGACTCTTGTCAATCAGAGAGGAGAATGTAAGAAGATTAGATTGTCCAAGAGCACACTGCCAATGGAGAAAAATGACGTAGCACATTCCCTTCTCTTGTCACTGACTTGCGCGTTCAATAGCCACCAAGCTAGGTTGTGCAACCGCCGATCGGAATAGTAAAGCCGCTTGGTCAACTTTAATTTGTTCTTATATTAAGATAATAATATATAAGAGCATGCAAAATAATGTTCATGCAATGATAACCGACCCTACCGCAAGCCTAAGAATATATATAGAGTTGGTCACCTGTGAAAAATCAAACTGACTTGCTAAAAACAAAACGTTAAAATATACGACCAAAATGACATAATTAGTAGCACTACCTACCAAATGCTCTCGAATCTGACCCCAATTAACTACTAGTCCTGCTATTTGTACCTACCCTTACACCCGCCTCTATGAATGTTTGTCTGTAAATCCCGTTCACAGAAAAAAGCTTTTCATTGACAGATGTGTATAAAAGTGTGTATAAGAATTTAGACACTCGAATCTGACCCCAATATTCTAATCCTACTCCAATATTTGAATTCGAAAAAAATTAAATGTAAAGTTTATTAAATTAATTAAAATCATAAAGTGGAGTATGTATGTCCTTTTTACTTCATTTTCATGTCACATCTTTCATACAATTCTAAATGTATTTACTTGTTTTCTTTTGGACGGTTTTCAGTCCCAGACCAGACTCGACCAGATCAGACCAGACTTAAACTGACTAGACCAAATCAGATTTGGACAATTATAAAATACACAGAAGTCGGACATTTACCAGACCATACTTAAACAGCCTAGATCAGATCAGGCCAACAAATTTCAGTCCAAAAGAAAACATCCTTGGGAGTGAGTTAGCCAAAATTAATACAAGTATCAATGTATTTAAGTCAAAGGAGAATAACATCACCAAATAAGCTACTTAAGGAATATGTGATTAGCAAAAACATTCAAAAGAAAAATCAACAAAATATTGGTACATAATACTCCGTATTTGTTTTTTTTTACTCCAGGCGGGTTTGTGGGAGGGGGGTGGGAGCCCTGGAGTAATCAGGGCTGAAACTCACTCCATTGAGTTTCGAACCCTTATGTGCCTAGCAAATTTCGAACTCGAGACCTCCCAATAAGCACAGTAAACTCTCAATCAGCTGGACTGAAATGCTTGGTTTATTGGTAGAGAATATATATACACACAACAAACTATTAGCAAAAGCATTCAAAATAGTTATTTATACGCAGTACAAAATATTATACGGAATATATATACACATATTTTGAATTTGGGTACACTTGAATACTATTCGAAATTTCGAATTGAATACAATGATAATTGTATTGGTATTTGAAAAACAAATTTCTATTGATATTCACAACGACATTCTATTTATTGGAATTGGGATATTTGAAACCTATATAAAAGTAACACAATCCATCGTATAATTGGAGTCAAATTCCCATGGACACCGAGAAATTGTAGCATCTTTTAAAGGGAAAACTATCAATTTAGCTCTCGTACTATTATGAAAAAGTCAATTAGCTCATCATACATTTAAAAAACAATCAAATCATCCAACTTTGTAAAAACGTTCAATTGAGTCCATTTACAAGTTACTTGTCATGTCAGCAGGTCACTCATTGACGTGGCGCACACGTGGCAGTCCAATCAACTGTGACTTTGCTGACGTGACACACATGTGGAAGTCCAATCATCCATTTGATGATGATGTGGCGCACACGTGGCGGTCCACGTGTGTGCCACGTCAGTGGATGGCCTGCTGACATGATAAGTAACCTGGAAATAGACACACTTGAACATTTTTACAAAGTTCGGAGATTCGATTGATTTTTTTTGAAAGTATAAGTACCTAATTAACTTTCTTGTGATAGTACGAGAATCAAATTGGACAATGAGTATAATTTTCTGTATGCTATACGGCGTTTATTGCAAAAAATCAAAATTACAGATGTACAACCCGTAGCTCCGACGAATAATTAAAAAATATACAGCGCTTTTTGGTCTCATTTAACGACCACCATTATCGTTGGAGTGAGCTCCACGAGATTCAAAATATTCATATGGTGTTTTCTGGAAATCACAACTTCACAAGTAGAAGTTCAAATCAGCTTCAACCGTGTCGGATTCAAAGTTATTTCTGCATATTTTAGGGTTCTTCTAACTGAAGATGGCGACAACTGCTCCAACAATCTCCCCTTGGATTTCCGAAGATGACCTCTTGTTGAAGAACGCTGTGGAGGTTTATTATTGATTATTAAAGTCTAAAGCACAATCAAAATTTATTGTTTAATTTGCGTGTAGAATTTTAGATTCTAAAATTCATTGGTCCCTATTATTTTCTTCCAGATCATAAGCGATTAATTATTAGCTTTCTACGGTTAATTTGTACTGTTTCGTGTTTGTTGGATGATCTAGTAAGTATGGACTCTCATATGAGTAGTATCTCTCAGTTACAATACGAATGGAATAGAAATGCTTGTGGTGCGGGACTGATGCGAATGTCTAATTTGAGAAACAAATGAGCTGTTCACCTGAAATTGAACTCGTTAATTTCATTTCTCTGTCTTCTAGACTAATTTTGAGTCACTGCAACTAGTTATCCAAAGCTTATTTTCAAACAAGCCATGTATTTTCTACAGTTGTGGCGCACTAACCTATCTATCAATCTCTCATACATGAGAAGGCATCAATTACGATGTGAATACTGAATAGTAAAAATTAATGTGCAGTTATCACGTGCAGTTAAGTAAAAGTGGTGAGTATAGTATTAGGGTGTAGTACATGATGTTCCCGAATTATTCACTCTTAAATTGGTATAATTTAGAAAACTTTTCCTTTTCATTTCCAACATTTTCAGGTTTAAGGGGAAATTTCCCAATGTTTAAAGGGATGGAAATGTAGAAAGTAGAGTTGATTCTCATAGCTTCGACCTGCATGTTGTGATTGCTTCCATTGAAGGAAACAGTTGTTTAGATCAATAGTGATTATGACTTATGGACCCCCCACTTCAATGCTGTATAATAACCCCTTTTCATTTCCATATCATATGTAGTCAACATGTAGTCATCTTCAGCCTGGATTTGTGATATACTCAAGTTATATTTATTATAACTTGCAAATGATTTATACTTCTGAGGTATGGGTTTATGACTGAAGTTGTTCATGAAACTGATTATTACGTACCGAAATTAGTCTTCTTCCATGAACATCTGAAGTTATACAACATTTATGGCATGACATTGTATTTCTCTTTCATATTATTTTACCAAAGTAATTGCTAAGAGTATCTTTTTCAACATATTTGCAGGCAGGTGCTTCTTTGGAGGCACTTGCTAAAGGTGCAGTGCAATTCTCTCGCAGATATACATTAGAAGAACTGCAGGAACGGTGGCACTCACTTCTGTATGATTCTGATATTGCGGAACAAGCTTCGGTTCACATGATAGAGCTTGAACTTAAGGCTAACAGACCAGAATACATAAAAGAAAATAATGAGGCTCCTCGAAAGAGGAAACTCAAGAGCATACACAAACAGTACCATGATCTGCGGAAGAAAATTCGAAATGACTTTTTCAATTCCACTGATCTATGTTTTCTGGAAGGACCCAGTTTACAAGATTTTAGTGGTCATGACAATGTGTCTCATGACAGAAATGTCCTTGGGAACTGTATTTCAGATAATCTAAGGTTCCAGGAAGCGGAATGGGACATCCTGCGTAAAGCTTTCCCAGAAGCAGTGGCTGAGATTGCTTCCACGTCTCGTATCGCATATCAAACTGGATGCAGTAATACAGCTGGTGATAATCAAGTAACTGAAGCTTCGAGGAATATTGTATATTCTGAGGGTTTTTCTGCTTCACTAAAAGAGAGGGCTACTTGTATCCAGCCTAGCATTGAACTCTGTGAAGTACCTCATGTACCCAAAGATGCGCCCCTTAACTATGGAAAATGCTCAGTTGGTGAAGGATGCTGTCTACCATCAGCTACTTCGGATGGTGAATTCATAGATCTCCCTGATTCACTTTTGAATCTTTCAAATGATGATGATATTCTCATGGAGGATGAGGATGTGAGGAACATATTAGATAAATCATCCGATAAAAATGGTACACTCGTAAACTCTTCTGATTGCATTAAGGAAAGCGGGGCATATACTCATGAATCTGAGACATTAATTGATTCAAAGACATCGCCCTTGCCTCCAGATGGTGCAGAGTGCATTGACTCAGAAGTGGTTGCTCCTTCCACATGTGACCAGGAAATTTCTTGTTATGGAGAGAGTACTGTGTCAACTCACTTAACTTCAAACGCAGATTCAAATAAATCAACTGATGGTAGCATTTGCTGCACATTAAATACGGAGGACACTGAAATCCCCTGTAATGATGATATATTTTTACTTATCCACCCATCAACATCATTTGGTTCTGCAGTGACAGAACCGAGGAGTGCACACTATTTGGACACACCATCTGTTGCTAATAAAAAAGATACTAAACAATCAATGAATTCCGTGACAAGAGGGAAATGTTATGTGCCATCTCTTGCATGGCCTCACAAGATTGGACACAACATATTAGGAGAGCCGCACATTCAGCATAGCGTAAAATCCAAGTTGAGTGAAACTACCCGCGCCCCTTTGCTTTCTGGGGAGCCAAACAAGGTACCTTCTGACTCAAGGCAAGGCAGGACCTTGCAAGGTATTCTGGAGGGCCCCCTTGGTAGAGTGCAAGAGCAGTGTGCTGCTATAACTGGATTGGTAAATGATTGTATTAATTTTTTTTGCTATTACTGAGCATTTGTTCTTGTATTATATGATCCCCCCTGATCATTTTTATGAGCTGTGACCAGGTTGGAGATGCATCAGATGCCCATCCCGGCATGCCGCAATTTGCTGAACAGGGTTCTGTTGAAGTAGCTGCTGTAGAAATGTCAGCCCACCCCTCAACATCAGATCAGGAAGAACCAACAAGTGATGATGATGTACCTTATTTTTCTGACATTGAAGCTATGGTAATTCTTGAAAATTTTCTTCCTTCCTTCCTTCCTTTCTTTCTTCCTTTCTTTCTTTCTTTTGTGATGATTTGCTAAGGTCTTAGATTTAAGCTTGCTGAAGTGGAATTTTCTTGTTTGTTCTCATGACATCAAATGCCAGATACTTGACATGGACTTGGATCCACCTGATCAAGACTCTTATACCGCAACACAATGTGAGTTTCTTTGAAAGCTTAGTGATTGATGCTTTATTTTAATTCATGTGTATGGCATGAACTCTAGGATACGGCAAAATGTGATTCATTAGGATTTTATTTGACAACCATTTTTCGTGGTGGCCATCAAGTGTCAGCCCCTGTTTTAAAAATCGGCCTAGTCGGACCGATTAATCGGCCTATCGGCCTAGGCGGCCCTAACTATAGAGGCCTAGTCGGTCAAAAAATCGGCCTAGTCGGCCACCTAGGCGCTAGGTGCCCCTCAACCGCCCGACTAGCGCCTAGCAAGTTTTAGAACAATGGTGTCAGCTATAATGTGTTTTTTGTGACTGTACTAACACAGAAACCCAAAGAGTCTCTTTCATCAGTGTGGAACCTAAAATTGATCCATATTTTTTCCATTTAACATAGCTTATCTTTTTGTCTTTCTTATCTTTCTGTTCCTTTTGGTTCCGATATCATGTATCGATTCATGTTAGCTGACCCCAAAATCATTTGGGACTAAGGCTCGGATGTTGTTGTTGTATAGCTCTGATATATTGTCATTGATAATGCCCAGTGATAAGGTATCACCCCGAAGACAGTAAAAAGACAATTATAAGGTTGGAACAGTGTGCACTCTCTTCTATGCATAGAGCGATGTCATCTCAAGGGGCGTTTGCCATCTTGTATGGCCGTCATCTTAGGTACTTCATCAAGAAAACGAAGGTACATTATTCAAACTTATGTCATTTCTGGTTTGTACTTCTTTTTTTATTCTTAATAAGTTAACTTTGCAGGTGATACTGGGAAGATCTACAGATGACATTGATGTTGATGTTGATTTGCGAAAAGAAGGCAATGCAAACAAAATATCTAGACGTCAAGTAAGATTATCTAGTACCTTTAAGCTTCACTTCCATTGAGGCATTTGTGCAGGGAACTAATATGGAGTTGGATCTCAAATATTCTTTTAGAATCCCCAATTTAAAAACTCAACAGCTGGTTTTATGTAATAGTTTTCGTGAGCAGTTTATGGAGTTTCCCTCTGTTTATTGCGTGTTACACGATGACAATTGTATTTTATCTTTTACTTTCCTTATTAATATACTCAGCTTTTCTCTTCACACATATTTAGGCAATTATCAGGATGGAACCAGATGGATCATTCTTTTTGAGGAATATTGGGAAGAGCTCAATAACAGTGAACGGCAAGACAGTTGATAATGGAAAAATGCAGCTACTAAGCTCTAGTTGTCTGATTGAGGTATTTATCTCCCTTTGTACTTTTACAATTTGATTTGATATTTGGTTTGCTGAAAGAATAATGTTTTTCTGTGAAATTGGATGACAATGACACCAATGAGAAAAAAGATTAAATGATTTAATAGAAAAAAATTCCTCTTGATTTTAGAAAAAATGCTAGGGAATAAAAGAAGAGTATAATTGAGTCTTACTGGGTTTTGGAGCCTACCTTAATATCTTTTATTTCTCATTGTGCAATTTCTCTACTATTTGGCTACAGGAAACTCTGAAGTCGTAGATTGTTGTTTGAAGCATAATGTATATTTCTTTTGGTCTTCCTCCTGAGTTGTTATTGTTCAATTTCAATTACTTAATTTCATGCCCAGCAGAACGCCATGAACAGTTCATTTTCCTCATATGCCTCTTTTGCAACTTTCATCACTTCATTCCTAGGATATCTATCTTCTTTTTGACAATGGATTTTGTTGGTGAGGATTATAGCATAAGTGAAACATTTTAGTTGGCATCACGTTTTCATGACTATTCTATGCAGTGAAATTCTACATAAATTAGTCTATATAGTAATACGGTCTCCTGGTGTTACTATGAAGTCACAGATCTACCTTTTCAAGAAAAACATAAGCAAAACCATACTCCATTTAAAATAAAAAAATGAAGAGTATTAGTTGTGAAACTTCTTGAAAAGTTATTTTTTAACCTATTTTTTACCCCCCCCCCTCCACAACCTTTGTTTTCTTATGGTCTTTCCTCTTTCTGGACTACTGTAGTTTCATATTGCCTATGAGAACTTCTGTGGCTCATGCATGTAATGTTATGAACTTGTAGATCAAAGGAATGAGCTTTGTATTTGAGATGAACAGAAAGTATGTGCAGCGGCACTTGGACACACAGAAAGACAAAGCAAAGTTTGGCAAGTTTGATTGGTCATCTGAAGGGTAGGGTCTTGAAAGCAGATGACAACCCATTGAAACTTAAAAGGTAGCCCCTCCTGTTTAATTGCTTTTAATTAGTTACATAGCTTCCCTGGTGGATGACTTTTATATCCTTTGCCCGAATTAAATCTCCTTTGCCCCTACAACAGGATGTGTACATATATGATTCTTAGCAACGAGTGTTTAACTAGAAATTTAGAATTAGAATCCATCAATATATAAACACTATACACAAGGCCTTTGTCTATCCCCCCATCTGGCTCAATCATATCAAATAATTTTAAAATTTGATCCATCTCTACTTTCGTTTTCATTTCGTTTTTCTTTTTTCATTTGTCGGCGAGATGGCTATGGTCAGAAGAGGAGATCGGAAGGTCCTTCTAGTCATTGTTAGATTTGTATATGAACGGATAAATATACCTTGTGTTATAGCAACTGTTTAAAAAATAGTGTCAAATACTGAGTTTGACTTTCTGGTGAAGAGATTCAGCTTGTAACTACTATATACTCTGTAGTTAATGATAGTGGAAGACAGTATCCAAACTAATAGACCGCCCCTGGTCGGTACCTACTTGTAGACATTTTTTGGGGGCTACAGTTGGTTCTACGTAAGTACATATCTATGCAATCTATTAAGGTGAATGTTTTCTATTGTGTGATGTATTTTATATTTTTATGCTCAATATGTAATAGTTAGTGCCGTTCCATATGTTCTTAAACATTCCTTTTGAATATAGTGAACTTGTGCATTCGGAAAATTATACCGTACAACCGGAGAGTACCATGCTCAATGTGCTTTGCATGCATCCGATATACTTATTGGATTGTTTTGATTACACAATAACGATTGGATGAGTGGTGTGAGGTTTACGCATGTCTTCGGGATGTGCTGGGTTCTCTACTTCTATTTCTGCCAACAAATTATTTTTCATGCATCTTTTGACTGGTATGTAGACTAATACGGTGGTGTGTAATATCTCTAATATATTTGTAAACAAATCTAATTTGTGGTACCGAATAAAACGATCTCAACTTTGTTTGAATGGAATTGTGGAAAGGTGGGAATGGTTTGTGAGGATGTTTTCTTTTGGATTGTTTTCAGTCCCAGACCAGTTCAGATTAGACTAGACCTTATCAGACCAGACTTGACTTCCGTAGTTATAAAATACACAGAGACCATACGTTTACTAGACAATACCAGACCAGCAAATTTCAGTCCAAAAGAAAACATCCTGACACTGTCATACTGTGACACACATGTGGATAAATCTAATTTGTATTGTAAACTATCTACTTGTATTGTAAATGGATCTTGCTGAGGTTTCAGTGTTTGAAAATGAAATTTTGCGTGAATTCGTCCTTGAGAAATTTAAATAGAGTACACAAAGCAATATGAAATCAGGACTAAAAATACAACTTTCAAGCTTTAGTCTCAAGAGTCTGAAGTAAGTTAACACAATCAACATATGAAATCAGAACTAAAAAGATAGAAGAAAAATTCACATAAATAATCTCAAGTTTCTCAATAACTGGTGGGCTTCTCAGTTCTCAATATGAACTATTAGTAATTCCAATATAATCTAGAAAAAATTCACATAAATAATCTGAACTATTACCAGTCTTCTAATATTAATCTCAAATATTGGTAATTCCATCATAATCCCAAGTATGAGGGTCATCTTCTCAAAACACACCCATGACTAGGGTTCCGGGCTCGGGCCCTCCATTTGGTGAACCGGCCCGGCCGGTTCGGGTCCGGTCCAGGCCGAATTTACTTTTTTTTTTTCCTGAATTTTTTTTAAGTTTTTGGGTTGGGCTGGGTATTTTGGGCCATTTGAGGTGGTTTGGGGGTGAGGGGATGGGTTGGGGGGTTAAATAGGAGAAGCCAAAAAAAAAATTACAAACCAGGTGGCCCGGCCCGGCCCGGCCCGAAACCGGTGACTACTGGTTCGGGCTTGGGCCCAACAAAACAGAACCGCGAACCGGGCCCGAACCGGAACCGGAACCGGTCCACCCCTACCCATGACCTGCAACAACCAAACCAGCAGGTCACCCTGACACGTGTCATGTTTTTATTGGTTTGTATGTATATTCTTGTTTTATCTTTTATATTTTCTTTCTTTGTTTGTTTTTGAACAATCCTCATCTTGCTAAGCCAACGGACCGGAGAAGAAATGTCATGGTCTCAAGCTCTCCACAAAGGAGAAACTGCGGGAGCAACAGAGCAATATCGTCACTTGCAGCAATCGAGCAGTGTTCTTTTCCCAATCTTGCAATTCAAACTCCAGCTTCTTCAATTTCTATATTTTTTTTGTCCGAACAGTTCAATTAATTTATGGAATATAATATAGGGAAAACTGTCAAATAGGTCCTCGAACTTTCATAAAAAAGTCAATTAAGTCCTTCTATAGGAGACTCTGTCCGGTCATCGCGATATGAGGCGGTTCCCGGTGGAATTTTTTGATGAAAATCTTTGAGCATCTTATTCATCAAGTCTAGTTTACTCATACCAAATTTCAACTAAAAATTTAATCGGGAGTGCATTCAAATTAATTCGAGAACGCAAAAATGCGTAGTTATCTTCAAGAATTAATTTGAATGTGTTCCCGATTGAATTTTTAGCTAAAATTTGGTATGAGTAAACTAGACTTGGTGAATAATATGCTAAAAAAATTCATCAAAAATTTCCACCGGGAACTGCCCCAAATCGCGACGGCCGGACAGAACCTCCTATAGAAGGACTTAATTGACCTTTTTATGAAAGTTCGAGGACCTATTTGCATATATATTATATATATGCACCATGTATATGTGCATCGGAGCAAGCAGAATACTGGGGAAGGGGCGGCAATGAATCAAGACTCAAGAGAAGGGGAGGTGTCGAAGGACTGACATAAACACTATGTGCACAATGACCACAGCCGTTCAAGAAACCTGTGAAAACTCCGCGCCGGCGTCTACTCCGACTGTCGGCGGTGGCTTTACAACTACTAAATTAAATTAATGGCGGATTCTCCGTCGTGTTTCAGAAGAGAAGAGTCAAGAGGAAGACGGATGTGTTGGTGTTCATCGCTGCTCATCCTAGCGGCCTAGCCTGCGCCCTGCGGACTGTTGTTCCATTTTCACTTCATGTGCAAAAGCAAGAAGATGAACAGTGTTGCTGTACACCTTTGTTGGTCCGCTGAAAATAATCCCAACTATTGATTATTTTTGTATAATCCCAACTATATAGACTATCCGCCAATAATGGTCCATGACCATATATTACCTCTATAAAAAGTGAATTTTAAATAGAAATTAAGCGTAAAAATTAAAAGTTGAGATTATTTATAGGGATTACTTGTTATATATCATCTCATCCACTTTAGAAACTACAAGAATTTATTCATAGGGATCATTATTGGCGGAAGGTCCCTAAAGTTGGGATTATTCTGTAATAATCAATAGTTGGGATTATTATGAGCGGACCGCCAATAGTTGGGATTATTACTATCAATTTTTCCTTTTGTTTTTAATTCTTGGGAAAACTGTCAAATAGGTCCTCGAACTTTCATAAAAAAGTCAATTAAGTCCTTTAATAGGAGACTCTTTCCGGCTGTCGCGATTTTGGACGGTTCCCGGTGAAATTTTTTGTTGAATTTTTTTGAGCATCTTACTCATCAAGTCTAGTTTACTCATATCAAATATCAGCTAAAAATTCAATTGAGAACGCATTCAAATTAATTCGAGAACGCAAAAATGCGCAGTTATCTTCAAGAATTAATTTGAATGTGTTCCCGATTGAATTTTTAGATCAAATTTGATATGAGTAAACTAGACTTGATGAATAAGATGCTCAAAAAATTTCGTCAAAAAAATTCCACCGGGAACCGCCCCAAATCGCGACGGCTGGACAGAGTCTCCTATAAAAGGACTTAATTGACTTTTTTATGAAAGTTCGAGGACCTATTTGACAGTTTTCCCTTAATTCTTTTTTGTTTCTCTTTTTACTGTCTGAATAGGTCACAGGTAACAAAGATCAATTTGGGAAGACTGCCAATGAACTTGGGATTATATTAGAATTATCAATATTTGAGATTAATACGAGAAGACTGCTAATAGTTCGGATTATTCATGTGAATTTTTCCTATAATCTATAATATAAGAGAAAATTGTCCATAACAGGACTCTTTCATAGACTTTTGATCAAAATAAGACCAAATTAGATTAATTACATCCGAAAGCCTAAATCACTCCTACTTTAGAAAACTTAAATTCTACTCACCTAAAATACCCCTGATTACTTCACGCTACTTTGTGTTCTTCACGCCTTCACCTCTGCGATTAAACTTCAGAAAGTCTCCCCCATCTGCGTCGCGCGATTTCTACACCGCCGCCACCACCTTTCTTCACCGGTTTCGCCTCCTTCATCGACGCCTCTCTTTGCCAATTTCTGATAGTCAAGTGGAAACAGGTTTCTTCTTCTTCTTCTTTTTTCTTCTTCATCTTCTTCTTCCTCTTTTGTTCCTCCGGTCTCCTCCTTCGTTCTCTCTTTCTTCTTCTTTTGATATTTCTGTTTTCTATCTAAGATCTTAAAATATGGATCCGAAAATTGCACTCTTCATTAACAGACTTTTGTCCGTTTTTAAGATCTGAAAAACAGATCCGAAAAGTCAAGGCTTGAAAAATTGTTGTTTGTTAATTTTTTAATAATTAATTTGGATTCATTCATTTTCTAAAATCAACATTGATTTTTCTTCACCTCTGAGAACTAACCGCCATAGTCCTTAGGAAACGCAGCTCAAGCTTCCCACCGCCAACGCCTTATGGAATTCTATCGTCTACCTACTCTGCTATTGAGCTATTATAAGAACTTATTGTCTGTTTAATGACTACTTACTGTCTATGTATGGCCTACTATTGAGTATTATTAGAACTTATTGTCTGTTTACGGACTGCTTAATGTCTATGTATTGTCAAGTGTTTGCAAGTTTGATTTTGGATCTGATTTCTTCAACAGTTTTGCAGAACACATGGTGGCCTTGTGAAAATATGAAATAGAAGTTCGAAATTGGCAATTAGATCAGGATCAGATGCAATCTGCTTGTGTGGATGGACTCGGGTATAAGAGCAAGGCTGCCCAGCGGATCTACTCATCGAAGCTTGTGGATGCTCTCCGTTAGGTCCATTTGCCGTGGTCGACGGCCGTCAAATTAATCAAAGCTTGGAGACTGCTTATGGATTCTTCGATGTCGCCACGAAGGGAAGGACCAGGTGAAGCGGATCGATTTGGAAGCCGGTGAGATTTGGACAATCGGGGATGCTCTCAGTCATGTCTGCCGTGAAGAAGAGTTCATCGTAGCCATTTCTTCGATTAAGTCAAGCACTTGATTTTATTGATTTTAAATTAAGGGTATAATAGTCAAATAACATACACTTGTGTCCTACGTCCGTTTGTAGTCTTAGTTTTGGAAATTTGATATGTTTATGTCTTATTTGTATAAATTTCCCATAATATAATGGGTATCTTCCCAAAATAAACCAGTTATTTGGATAAATTAATTAGTAGGTCACGCGAAGTCGCAAACAAGTAATATTATTGTTGGTTTACATTTTTTTTTATTTTCCTTCTTTTCCTTCTTTTCTACATCTTCCTGGATTGATTGTATGAGTGTTTCAGGAGATGATGTCCCTTGTTCCAATGTTGGTATTGCGGTTGTAGATTTTCAACGACCGACTGTCATTTCCAGTGGCTCCTTGACGTCGGCTATTTGCCCGTCTTCATCATCGTTCATTCAAAATGTTCTTCGATCCTCTGTCCATCCCAACTGTTCATCGTAGCTATCTGTTCGTTCACCCAACTGGTCTCCGTCATTAGTCGTCTATAATTCAAGTTTGAAATGGTGTCACTTTGGAAATGGAATGATCAAATTAACTTTCCAAATTTGAAATTGAAAGAATGAAGTACAAATTTGAGGTGAAAAGTTTTGCTAAATGTACGAATGAGTTTCTAAATTAGTATACAAAGTGGGCATCACTTTTCACATTAGTATCTGTTTTTATTAAAACACAACTCAATGGGCAAGTTTTGCTACAACTCACTGTTTCAATACAGTCGTGTAGTGTACTAGGCTACGACGGCATGGTGGCAGCATACTGTCAACTGGAGGTGGCTACGACGGTATGGCGATCACTGGTTGTAGCTTCAGACCCTGCAAGAGTGTTTTTGTTCAATCACAAATTATTACTTCTATCTAGGTAATTTTAAATATTTTTTTCTTTTTTTTGCATTTTAGATACTCCCTTTGTATTTTAAAGTTCACTACATTAGATTTTGACATATTATTTAAGGAGGAAATAATGTAAAAAGTAAAAGAGATGGTGAAAAGTATAAAAACAAAGATAAAAAAGAAAAAGTATGGGTAATTAAGTATTTTTAAGGAGAAAATAATATAAATACCCCAAACTTTGAAGGGGTGTGAGATAAATACCCCAAACTTGCTTATGTAATATATATACCCCGAAGTTTAGATGAAAAGTTATTTTTGCACCACGATTATATGTTTTTACAAATATAAAAATTAATGCAATAAGTGCACAATTTAAAATGCTCTAAGTTTTATTTGGATGTAGTTAGCATTCTAAAATTTCATTTTTGAAATAAATAAAATTAATCCTGTACAATCTAATTTTAATTTCACCCTCATAAGTGTTTTGTGTATGTTAAATTATGTACTTCACACCATAAAATTACATTTGTGAAAAAACATATGATCATGGTGGTAACATAACTTTTTGTATAAAGGTTGAGATTAGGGCTGGACTCGGGCCGGTTCGGGCCC